AAAGCACAATGATGCAAAGGAAAGACCATGCTCATGGGATTGAAGCTGGGTTCACATTCTAGCTGTGCCACCCATGAGCTGGGCGATTCTAACTATTCTGAACCTTATTCTCTGTACTTGTAAACCACTGCTGATGGCTTTCAAGGCTGTTTTGAGGACTATGTAAGATATTACTTATCTTTAAGTGTGTGTCACAAAAAAGAACCTCAATGGAAGCTGTTAAAGGAGTCACAGAAAACATAACTGCAACATTAAAGCAATAAATACTAAGTAGAAAGGTGAAGAGCACATATTTTGAGGACTGGAAAGTGATAATAAACTGAAGTTCACTGCGGACATGTAGGAGAGGGGCTATACCAGTTCTTAGCCTGTAATCCCAGACAAGAGTGAAGAGAGGTGATTTAAGGTGATTTATGAGTGATTGTCTTCCTCTTCCAATTTATCCCAAAAGGTGTTCACATTCAGCTTTTCACTGCAGAACCATGTGGCCCTGTGTGTCACTGTTCACAGTGTAGGAAACACCCTTCCAGATGCCAGAGTCTCAGAGTAGGTGTCATGTATGGGCTCATATATACGTGTGTATCTATATATATGTGTGTGTAAATATATATACACATACACAGAAATGTAATTTTTCTCTGTATGTTCTTGCAATAATTAGCTTCTGTTGCTTTTATCCTACATATCCACAACTACACCAGACTTGTTTCTTTTGTTCTTCCTTCTGCTCATGTACATCAGGCCCTTTCCTGCTGCATTCATGTACCACTAAAACACACATGCACATGTACACACACATACATGCACACAACTGTTCTTTATTGGCTTCAGCCCTTTTTAGATGAGCTTTTGGGAAAGGTCCTACCATGAACTGATTTGTCAGACATGTTACTGTGGGTGGGAGAGGACTGGGAGTGGGAAGATGCCAGCAGCAGCTTTTGGGCTTTCAGTCCATAACATAAGATAGAACTATATCTGGCAAAAAAAAAAAAGGTGTCAAACAAGAGATCGAAAGAGGCCAAAGAAAGGATATAGTGGTAGCCAGAGATGAATGAAAGTGTGAAACATGAAAACATTTTAGACATAAACATTTGGAGAAGGGAGAACTAGAGGTGTTTACAACGATGATGGGGGAGGGAAAGCAATTGATTGGGGCTTTTGAAACCATACCAGGAGCCAAAAGCCAAGGGCAATGGCAGAGGGAAAAGCCAGGTAGGACAATTGAGACAGAAATCCAGCTCCTTACAGTGGAGCATGGAGTAGGACTAAGGAGTTTGCTATAGCACTCTGTGGGAGATGGGCAAGTCTAACCCAGTCTCTGTGTTTGAAAGGACCTTGGCAGGTTGGAGAATGCTAGTCAACCTTGACAGTTCTGAGCTCAGACAGGGGTGGCAATCCTGGGCTTTAACTCAGAAGCCTGGGTTGAGGTGGATTTTGGAAAATTTTCTCTTAGCTCCCAAACTTTTAAAACGTGCTTCTCACACCACTCGCCTCCAATCAGAGTATAAACACACATCCTGGCAGCTGTTCTCCATTGGAGGTCTCAGCAGTGGTACCTGCCATCTGACAAATGGGGCCCTTCCCCTTTCCTATTTCTTAGATATTGTAAACTTGGCTGAATGCAATACATTTGCAAATTTCCCTTTGCCCTTCCTACATGCTTCACATCTCCAGATTCCTAGGGTTAATCCCCAGGACAACGTTTCTTTGACAAAAAAATGTGACAAGCCTAGTTAAAGATCTAGATCCCAGAGACCTCTGTCTGTCCTGCCTCAGCCAGACGCCATAGGGCTGGCTCTAGGAGGCAGCCACCTATAGAGGAAGAGCAGTGGGTTTTTTGCTGCTGTTCATTTTCCAGGCTTGGTTGCTTTGCAGAATCGGGTACCCTGAAGCATGGGATTTCCTTTTCTTTTTTTCTCGTATTTCTTTTTTCTTTTCTTTCTCAGCAAAATACAATAATATCACCTTGCCATCCTGGGGGTGTTTCATAAAAGCAATTGAATTAGAAAGCACTTCATTGCTGCTCATATCCTGGGTTAAAGATCGCTGACTTGATCTGGGTGTGCCTATCCTCAACATTGAAATATTTTAAAATGTACCTGCATTTGTTAAAAGTAATTTGTACTGATTGTTCTTCTCCAGAATAAATACTATGTTACTGGCTGATTGATTTTAATTATGATTAATCTGTCCCAGAGCTTGCATAGATGTCTTCTTTCAGGACTTTTGTGCATATTTGCTGCTCATCAAAGGGAAGGATGGAAGACTTTGAAAGGAGGGAGTGGTCTGATTGATTCAGCCAGCTCCCTAGCTCATTACTGACTCTTGTCTTCTCTTCTCCCTTTCTCCTCTCCTGGCTCCTCAGATCCACCGTAAGCCTGCTGTCAGTGAATTAGCTTCTACCTTTCTTTCCTATGACAGACTATGTTAGACTTGGTTGGGTAAGAGACCATTTTCCACTAATTACATTTTTGTCCCAGCATATTTTCAAACCAAGATGAAGACCAGAAACTGCATCTACTCCCTAAACTTCTCCTGTCCTGGGATTATTAGCCAGATATTAATAACAATAATAATACTGTATTTAGAAGCTCTCCAGCACATTTTATCTTAGAATCTTCTAAATGTTAACTAATTAATCTTCACAACACTCCATACAAGAGAGGTAAATATTATTAACCATAATTAAATATAATATGGATTTGCTAAGGACAGCAAAATAGTTCACTTATTTATCACGGCTCACTTGATATAGTAACTGGTATTTTTAAAGCACCCATCATAGATACAATAATTAGAGATGTGCTTTTGCTAACAAAACCACTACCCACTTCTAGCGTACCCTTGGGTACTAAATAATTACCCACTTTGTGTGGTTATCTAGCTCACTAATTACCCACAGAAATTGAGGTCAGGTGTTAACTGCTTGAAATAAGTATCCTCCAAAGACATCACTCAATTGTACAGAAAAAAAGTGATGTGTTCATGGCAAAACTTTCATAACTCATATATTTGTGTATATTTGTAAGTTGTATGACTACAGATGAGGCAAAATAGTTCACTTTGTGAAAATTGTGCCCAACTATTATTGAAAATACACACAGGTTTAGGACAGTCTCCTTAAATTTCATTCTCTATTTACCTTTCCTTTTTGAAGATGAGTACAATAACATGATTCCCATAGTCTGTCCTTCATATACAAGCATGCTAGTTGACGATTCTGCTTAGAAATGATTCATTTTGGCATTACAGGGAGGCACCCAGTGAGTCAAAGACAGTGTTCGACAGCTCCACCCTTTATGATTATTCTAGCATGTTTCTTTTTTCTCCATCCATCTACTGCAAACACGCTGTTAGACAAATCTGGAAAAGATTCTAACCTAGTCACCAACCCTCATGAACCATCTTTCTCCTTCTCAATAATGACAAAATGAAAAATAAAAGTATTAAATGAAATCCAACACTAGGATTTCAGCTCTTTCTCTTTTTGCCTCTATTTATTCTGCTCACTTCCCCTTCCCCTCCTCTTTCTCACTCCTCCCCTCCTCTTCTCTTCCTCATTCCTCCCCTCCTCTCCTCTCCTCTCTTCTCCCTTCTTCCTCTCTCTGAGTCTCCTTCTTGCAAGTGCTTTTTCTTCTCCTTTTCCTTGGCATACAGCCCTGCTACTGCAGGTTTCACAGTCAGAGACGAAGCACAATATCTGAGTTGAACACAAAGAAGGTATCTTTTAAAAATCTCGACTTGGAGGAAATCTGTATCTTCGGATACCTCCCTCCTGTCCTTGCTACATGTACAGAGCCCAGCACCATACTTAGCACAGCACTGCCTGTAGGCTGCAGGACCCCAGCCAGGAAAACTGGGTTAAGATGGCAGCATACACAGTGCACACATAGGCAGGTAGAGACCCTCGTTTTAGGACGATACCTGTTTTGCAGGATCATTGTGTAGCTAAGCTTTTAAAATTTGTGCCAATAAAAATGATAGGAAATGCTCTTTTAGTTAACTCAGGATATCTTTCATTTTTCTGTTGTGCCACTTGTGTCATCTGAGTTATTGCTTACCATTATTAAGGGACTTCAGGGTGGTCAGTGAGGTGCATACGTATCTCACAGACATGTGAGGTGAAATGCTTCAGGAATAAAGAAAATGTCTGCAGTAAAAGCAAAGGGCTAGAATGAGTTACAGTGACTGATGTGTTTATTTCAAAAGCCAAGGGAATGTGAGTGGTCAATTAGTACATATGGCAAATATATTCAAAGAACAAAACCCAGCAACTAAAAGAGAATGGTAACATTGTAGTCATCGTGATTCCTAGAGTGTCTGAGTTTTTAAAATGTTTATTAAATCACTGCTCTTTTATCCCTCTAAATGCCAATTTCAAAGAAATATCTGGGCATTGTCGACTTTCTGTCCATAGAGAAACCCACCAAGATTCATAAAATACATCACCTGCATATGTGTTTTTTAAATACCCATGGGATGTGGAACAATTAGGCAGAGAACTGTATTGTGGTCTTTTCTACACTCCTTTCCCCCTTTTAGATCCTTTTAGAAAGTATGATACCTGATCTCTGTGTCTAGCAGGCTGAGGATTTTTTGTATTTGTATAATATAATGTCTGGCCTTGCCCCTGACCTGGTGGTGTATTTTTGGTCTCATTAGTAGTCAGGGAGATGCCTTAGTGCATCCGGTGCTGCGAGTCAGAGATGAGAAACACTACAACAGTGAGAGGGAGAGTGCACGAGAGGATATTAGGAGAGAGGCTTGTCTCCAAGATATGGAAGGTTGTGAGAAATGACAGGACTACAAGCTTTGTATGTAGGAGCCTTGCAGGGCGGGGGAGTGCAAGGTGAGCCAAGTGGATTCTCAGAAAAGGAGGAAGGCCATAGAGGAGGTAAAGGTGATTAGAGGGGGATATTGATTCCGTATTCTTCCAGAGGTTTAAGCAGGCATGCTAGGAATCCGCACCATGGCTGGCAAAGGAGACCGCTGCCTCCTGTAACCAGACACGCAGGCTCTCCAGGAGCCTGGGGAGAGAGGCGAGAAGAAAGGGGGCAGTGTGGTCTAGGAAAATTCAACTTGTCGCTGATTTGTGCCTGATGCTTGCTGTCCGTCAGCAGCCTCCCTTACATTCTTTTTTTCTCTCCCTTTTTTTCTTGCCTTCTCCTTCTTCACTGAAGCCTAGGGGAGCCAGTAAAGATTAAATGTGCTTTCTCAAAGGCAGCCACTTCATGCTGCTATATCAAAAGGGCCATTATTATTTTTATTTTTAATAGTAAAAGAAAACGGGGGAGAGGTAGGCTGGGGTCGGGGAGAGACAGACTAGGTAGGATGGTGACGGACTAGCCTTCCTGAGAGGAAAAGGAAAAGGGAAGGGAAAGAAAAAGGAGAGACCCTGAACTGAGCTGAGGATTGTGCCTGAGAAGAATCCGCCGAGGTGAGAAAAAAAGTCTTGAAGACAGTGGTGGGGGTGGGGATGCTGAGTAGACCCTGTGTGCAGCGGGGAAACAGACATAATTTAGCTGTCTTGCTGGTGTGATTCTGTTTTGAAAAGGGGAAAGGATGGGGGAGAGACTGGAGCTTTACCAGTTTTAGTTGCATCTGTAAATATATACAAAATACTTAGCATTTTATTAAGTGAGGCCCCCTCTAAGTGTCTTCCTTGAGGGGCTGCTTTGTCATTCTTTGACTAGCCAGCCATCTACCTTGCTTAGACTGGAATAAAAGAAGAAAGAAAAAAAATAAAGGAAGAAAGGAAGAAAGAAAGGAAAAGGGAAGAAAAAATTTAAAGAGTCATCTCCCCACCCACTTCCCCTCCTTTTCGTTTCATTTTTGGACGCGTCACAGGAGCCAGCGGTCTTCACGTAGAAAAGCTCAGAGTCCAGGCGGATGGGGGAAGCGACCATCAGGTACTTTACCCGTTGCTGCCTGCGAAGATGGAGGGGAACTATGCTTCAGATTTCCCCGAAATATTGGCAAAATGCTGCCCAGGCCCGGTGGCGGGCGAGGCGGGGAGTGCGGTCTCTGCGTGCCCCCACCCTCCCAGCTTCGCGTCTGCGGAATGACAGCCCGGGGCTGGCTCCGTCCAGGACTTGGCCTTGGCCTCCGCGGAGCAGCTGATGCCCGGGAGGCCCGAGTGCAGGACTGGCCAAGTGCACTCGAAAGAAGAGGACGAATATTTTTTAAAGCATCTCTGGGAGGTTTTTCATTCTTTAGTTAAAATAAAAATAATGACTGCATATTCTCCATATCTGATCAGTCCCAGTCCTTCCTTCCACTCCCACTACAACTGCCCTTTTTCTTCCCTCTCTGGTCGAAGCCTAAGGGCAGCGTCGCGCTCCCCAGATTCTGCGGGCCGCTGCGGCCCCCGCCCCCGCCCTCGCCCTCGCCCGCCCGCGCTCGCGCCCGCGCCCCGCTGCAACGCCGCGCCCAAGCTAGTGCCCAGAGCTCGCGCTCCCGGCTCGGACGGTGCGACCGAGGCGGCAGCACGCTCCTCTTCCAGCCGGGTGAGTGTGAAACGCCGTTCGTATTTACACTTTCACAGCTTCCACGTACTACTTCTTGGTCTTCTAACAACCTGATTTCTTTAAGTCTGTCTGTTGGCATGCTTCCCCAGGGGAAAAGACACCTCATTTTCTTCAGTCATTTCTGCTAGTTGTAAATTAAATCTTGGAAGAGACGATCAGACCGTGGTTTTTAAAACATGACATTTCTGAGTCTATTCGTGTTATTTTCCATTTTAGTAAACATTTTTTTTCCCAAAGCTGTAAAGAGTTTTCTGTGATGCACTCGCGACTGTATGTTCAGGTATGTATATGTGGCCAAAGATATTGTGTGCGTGTGCGTGCGCATTCCCACTACACTGAGGTGGTATCTAAATCTTGTGAACCAAAGGGAGCCCAGACAGTAAGGGAGTAAGTACCCTGCCACCTGTTTGTTGCCTTTTAATCATGAAACTAGAATAGAAATCCCCTGTCATTCTTCCACTTTGTTTTGTCTCAAGAAAGAACAATTTGTTGCGCTCCTCTCAATCCCTGAGACCCTAACTTGTGATGTTTACCATTTAAATCCACGGGTTAGGCTCTTGGGAGCTGCGAGTGGTGCTTTAACATCCTGGAAATTGGGTGGAACTTTTCTTCTTTAAAGCAAAGACAAAAGAAAAGAAAGTTTGTCTGTTGTGATGGAGTGCATCTCTGAGGCTTTCATTGTTGGATGGGATCAGGTGATCAGAAAGTGGCAGCTTCTGGATTTCTGTTAAAGTAAGCCCATATTGTGTTACAACAGCATTCTGGCTCATATGTGTGTGTGTGGATATCGCTGACGTCCCAGGCTTGTGGAAACTCATCTTCCAGGGTCTCTTCCTTGAGAGCAGCATGCAGTACTATCTATCGGGAGCATAGCAAGAACAGCTCAGTACCTGGTGCTTGACCTCAGAACGGATCAGCTGAAGTCCCAGCATGCCCTAGCTTCCAACTTTTAAACTCAACAGTTGATCTTAAAATTGAGCCCAATTAAAACGGGCATGTGGACATATAATATATGCGGTGCCCGCACATGTGTAGTATGTATGGCTAGATGATGAACACAGACATAGATAGGGGTGAACCAATACTTTGGGCCAAAATATCAATAGGCTGAAATTTTTACTAGTTATTCTAGATGAAGGATGGAATTCATGGTATTAATAAAGACTAAATTTGTGTTCCTTTGCAAGATCTTAAGTAAAATAAAAGGAGTGAAATAGCCTCTTGCTTGGCATCTACTTTAAACTGCTATACACAATGAATTTAAAAGTAAAAGGGATAGGATATATATTCTCTCTCATATATATATATATATATATATATATATATGTACATATATCTTCCATATATATATATATATATGGAAGAAATAACAGCACACACACAAAATTATTATGTCCTTTAGGAGTAACTATGTCTATTACTCTTTGTTTAAAAATTGGAAAAAATTATCAGGATTGAAATTTAATCCAATGTGGTTACTTATAATATCAAACTATACATTTAAAAATTATCTTCTTTTAAGGTAATTGTTAGGATTACATGCTTTGTAGTTTTCTGAAAATGGAACATTTTTGTAACAGAATAATTTCAGTGATTTAGATCTATCTCAGAGTTAGAGAAAAGAAACAGCAATTTACCTTTCCTTTGTTGTGAAAAATTCCAATATATAATTTCACTCAAACAATTTTAGTATTCTTGGGCCAACATTTGTCTTCTATTTTTGGAAAATACCTAAATCAATCCCATCTTCAAATGCTTTTTTCATTTAAAGATTTTATATTGGTTGTAACCTTGTTTTATGCATATAGTCAAAGGTTAAGGAAACTCTTCTTTCCTCGTTGTTTTCTTTAAGTATTCATTGCAATTTTAGTCATTGACTTCAGGTCATAGTCAAAAAACTGTTTTGTCTCAGAAAACTGAATTGAGAAGATGAACTGTGGAACTATTGCACCATGCCTTTTGTTGAAACCTTTAGTGTACTTGTAATATTTAAATATTACTCTCCAGCCTTTGATAGTTGGAATGTGTTTCAAAGAAAAGTTATTTGATTTTCAAGTCATCTTTTGGTTTCTATAGATTGGATTAATTATTTTCCCCCATCTTAGCTGATGTGTATGCATAGGTATTTGGAAATGCAAAGACATCTATTTAACTTATGGATATATATTGCCACATGATTCATATCAAATATTTGTAAAACATTTGGTGCTTCTTGAAGTCAAAATATATCTGCAGTTAGTTTTATGAAAACATATGCACGGGTCAATAATAACCTGTTACATAAAATTCTGTGATTTTTAATAACATGATAGTAATTTAATACAAGTAATAGTTTGTATTCCAAGGCATTCTTTCAGTTTTTCAAGGCACGTTTTCAAGTGGTTTGCTCATGTTCTGAGGTTGCTATCACACAACTGATCAGTCAGGCATTTAGGAGTGCATAACGACACACAAGATTTTATATTTCAGCAGGGAGCTGCTTCAGTGTAAGATAGGTTTCTCCACATCCCTTCTTCCTCACTGAGCCCATCAGTGAAGTTCAGTGAAATGAATAACATAATTGGTGGTTGGTTCAATCACTACCAGTCTAGACTAGCCCAGACGCATCAATTAGAGGGGGCTGTCTTTTAAAGGGAGAGTGCAACCGAAACAAGCAGGGCATTATTGATACCGATCTTTAAAAGTGCAAATCCAGCTTGGCAGATAAAAAAAATAAGGCGGGGAATTTGGGGGTGGGGTGCATTGCAGGAAGAAAAGAAAAAGAAAGAAGTGAACTGGAGCTTTGGGATACAGAAAGACAGGAAGCTGAGAGAAAAGGAGGGGATAATGAGTGAAATGCAATGCAGCACCTCCTTGGAACACAGTTACAATTCAGTTCACAGGGCATACTGGTTCACCATATTTTTAACCAGATTCTCTTGTCCCCTTTCTTTTTTTATTCCTTTTTTGCCCGTTCCTAAGAAGCAACAGCTCAAAAACAATGCAGTTGGAAATTTAGGAAGCTCTAGTAAAAATAAAGCCAAGTTATATCAACCAGCCAAAACTCCTTTTGAAACATTTTCCCCAAAAGAAAAACACAAAAAATGTTTATTTTTGAATTTCTAATCCCACCTTTAAAAAAATCAACTGTACTAATGAACAATACTCATTTTAAAACTAGCAACTGGGAACTAATCCTATGGGCAAGACACCTAAGGTAAACAGTTCATAGTTTTCTACAGAATACAGTAAAATTATGAAGAATGAAACAAAGGCTCTGGTGACTTGTTGGGGTAGGAGGTGGTTGATGGATAAAAGAGGATTTAGAAAGCATTAGGAATATATCAAGCCCCGGGGAAAGAAAATGTTTAATTGGTATTAATTAAAACACTGCTAATATATTCTAATAAAATCAAATTTAACATTCTAAACTAATCCGCTTGGTATGTCAAAGGAAAAGAAAAGTATTATCTTATTTGCATCTCTGCAATTCAAATGCATTTGCTCATTCAGCAGAATTAATTTTTATCACCAGCCTGTTTAATCTCCTCACAGATTTAGTCAAACTTATTCTTTCAAACTAAGAGGATCAAGGTAGAGAATCCATAAAGGTATTGGGAAGACTGACTCTATTTCATACTGGCTTTACATTGTACTACGTTTTTTTCTCTTCCTTTACTATAATGAGGTGTGGGGAAAACGGTGAGGTGGCAGCGAGAATGGTGAATGGTTAATTTTTCCTGTCTTTCTCTCCTACCTTTCAGGTTATTTAGGAATTTCACTTGCCAACTTATAAAAGTGGCACTTATTTACATGGCTGATGCTGATGTATTGATTAATATCTAATTTATGTCTAAATTCAGAATTTTTTTATTACAAATTCCTAATGAAAAAGGCTCTCAAACCAGAAACTAATTACCTTTCCTCAATTAGTTTCAACTGTAGTCTTTCTAAATGCAAGTGGGGAGGTGAATGTAACATTTTATTCATTTAGAACTGAATTCTTTGTTTTATTTTTTAAGTTAAAATTTCTACTGGAAAATTCACACTTTTATTAAATGGCAAGTTTTATGATCTTTATTGTTGAACTCTCACAGTGGATAAAATTGTCCCAAAATGACATCATAGCCAAAATGTTTCTCCTCTCATTAGTCTCCCATGACTATGATATCATATGTAAATATGTGTCTAACACCAAAAATAAATGGGCCAAATATATTCAGGACCACATTTGTATATTTCAAAGTGAGCAATTCTGCACACTATCAAGAAGATGTGAACTACTTACTCAACTACTGATGATCCTGCCTTTTTGCTCCATTGCCTGTTTCAGTTCTTCGATGTAAAAGAGCAATTGCAGTTCAGTTTCACATGTATTGTTCTATAATCCAGGCAATAAATGCTAATTAGTGATGCTCAAGGATCCAACTACTCAGAGTAATTATCATAATTTACTCTTCCTTGTTAAAGACATTCCTTGCTGATTAAAAAATATTAAATTGTTGTTTTGCCATTGCACGCAGTGGAAATACACCGGAGAGGTGTTTGAGGGAGGGTCACATACCGTTCTGGAATCATTTGAAGTCACCAACATGTGCCTCTCAGCTTATTCCAAATGGAATTGCAACTTAATTTCTAAAAAAGGAATTCATGTAAATACATAAAGTTTTGCATGTGCACCAGTGATACATGATTTTATTTTACAAACCTCAGGGCTCCTCCTTCTTGGCCCATCCCCTTTCTAAAATCACTTACTGAGCAGAACAAAGGAAACTGCTAACTATAGAGGCATCATTGAGAACAGCAACAGCATGATAAAGTATGTGATATGACAACATATTTCATTGCACAAAAGTGCAACTAATTAAATAATTAAACAGTAACCCTAATTAGCAGACAGATCTTTAAGGAGGAATCAAGAAAATGGATCCAATCAACTTGAATAATATGCTCCATTCTCCAGTGTTAAAAATATATATTTGGTTATTTGGTGATTGGTTGATTTATACAGAAAGATGAGGACAAAAGGCTACTTCACAAAATGGAGATTTGATCTGGTGTCCTCTTTAAGACAAATCATACATTTTATAAGAATTGAACTTAATGTAAGGCTCTCTTTTCAATCAAAGATATAATCTGTCATTCACTTGTATATTTCTATCAGCTGATCTAAAAAAATGGTCTAAAAATTGTAAACCCCTTAGTTTTTCACATCATTGCTGCAGAATATATATGAAGCCTCCTCCATATTTTAAAATGAGGTTCATGTTGAAGAATGTTAGTTATTGCTTGAAGTAAATAAGAATACTATGCACAGAAAGAACAGAATAAAAAACCATGCCAAATATTATATTTGATGGAGCCAGCCCCCCTGGCTTTATCTATCAAGGTTTTAGTCTCAGGGTTCATTGTCCATGGGTCCTTAAAGGGAAAACTTCAGCTTTTCCTTGAGGGTTTTAAGCACATTAGTGGAGTAATTCTCTTTGGATACTATACAGAAGGCGCCACCTGCAAAATGTTGTTGCTCTTATTAAAATCTCAAGTGGAATCAGCTTTCAAAAAATTAGATATTAGATGCATCTGATATAATTTGCAGTGTGTAATTATACTAATGTACATATAGTTGTATGTTGCTTTACATGTTGCCTATTTGAGATTTTTTTCTGTTGGCATTTCTCATCATTTGACATGTAAACATGTAATCATGTCAAATGTAAATAGAATGTTTTTCAAGTGAACTTTTAAAAAATTTCTTGTTAATTAGTATAAGAATTAAAGGACTCTATAGTCTGTGTTCTCATACAAGAATGAATGCGTGTACCCTAGATGGTGGCAATTAATAGTGTCTAAAAAGGTTATCATTGTGGATACTTTCCCGTTATTTATAAAATATTTGCTTTTTTCATATTAATCCTAACTTTGGATAACTTAAAATTATGGAGAATACTAGAATAGTAAATATTATTCATGAGAAATCTATTTCCTTTATTAAAATAATGAGATAAAATGCCAGGGAAATGGCCTTTGGCAGAGATAATACTTTTAATTTAATCAAATTAATCAAATCATAACAATAGTAAATACCTTCTTTTCCAACTTTTTTTATTTTGCATGGCACATGAAGAATAGCCGAAATTGTGCCTCAGATCACATGTGCACCAACATCAACTTCCCTTCTGGTGTCTCGGTGTGGTGGTTCCTTGGACTGCAGCTCCTTCTGCATAGAGCTGACCCCTTCATATTTAGCCACTGAGGAGAAATCCAGGCAGAGCAACAGCAAGTTGACTGGCAATTGGCACTTGCTATGTGCTTAGTAGGTGACAATGCTCTTGATGCAAATTTGGAGAATCATCACAATCAGATCACAGAGGGACCCTGGGCAAACCAATGCAAGGGCCCCATTTATGCTTATATGTTCAGGAGACAAAAAGGATTCCAAAGGAAGCTCATGTTGAGATGATACAAGCTATTACTCAGTCCAATTAAGCAGACATAAGCACCAAAGATGATTGAGTTTTTAATCATTTGACTCATATAGTGGTTCACATATTTATACTATTTATTCTTCAAATTTATTTTAAAAATGGGGCCCATATTACAAAAGAGACATTTGTATGGGCTATATCTATGATATGCCAAAATAATATATTGGTTTACTTTTTATCTGGACTTTCTATTATTAAGCTACCCAAAAAAGTCACACACAAAAATGTGTGAAACACCTTTCCTTAACATAATAACATTTTAATTTATTCACAAATGAGTCTTAAACATCTGTAGCAAAAGATTAGCACCCTACCCTCCCACTCCATGCTTATAAAATAATGAATTCTAAAATCTGTAAAATGTATATTTTATTTAATTACTCATCTAGGATCAGTTATTGCTTGCCTGGTCAGAACAGAAAAATAAAATACCTATTAACGACATTTAACAGTAGGGCTATTTTACAGGTTTCAAGGGAAAAGTTTACTATACCTGCCATCTAGAGAGCCAACATCTTTAATACATTTGAAGTGTTTAGGGCAAAAAGCAATAATATGTGGTAGCATATCCCTTTTGGTGTACCTAACTCATTATGCACCTTCATTGTGCTAGCTTAATGAAGAGGCTGACAATAAAGGGTTTAGTTCAATTAAAATCCACCTGCAAAGTGTATTTCATTCATAATATCTTTTGTATAATAAAGAAACATTAATACAGCTCTTCCCAAACATCCCTGTCTGTAAAATGAGTGGGTTGGATTAGTTGGTCTCTAAATTCTTTTACAGCTCAAAGAATTTTTGAAGGTTTTCTACAGTAGGGTCTATTTGTAGACCAACAGTTGTCTTTTAAATTTATATTTGATTCCACTTCCAGGTACTGTATTTACTAACATGTTGTTTGTCTTGATGTTAAAACAGTCAAGTTCATTTTTAGGAAGGGCAGTGACAGAAAAGAGGGACAGCTGAAGAATGAGAAATGCTACACATTGAGAGAAGGAATTTCTTGATATGAGTTCTAAATCCATTTCCTTCAACACGAACATAGAAGAAACCCAGACAAGCACCTGCCTTTCTATTTTGAGACTATATTTTTTTAGTTCTTATGTCTTTATTTAATTTCTTTCTATATGGTTTGTTTTTCCCCATTAGGTTGATGTCTTTGAGTTGCATGTTTCCCTCTCCACTTCATTTATCTGAATCATATTAATATTCCCTTCAAAAGCCTACAATAGTTATGTTAACACACCACATTTTCAAAATTAAATCTTAATATGTTCAAAACCTCCTGAAATTTGCTCTACTCCATTTTCTAAAACCACTTAAATATATAATCTGTTTTTGAATTAAGCAAGCCTGTTTCCCCTGGCTTCCAAGTCTTTGAACTTGCTCTCATGCTTCTTTCCTCACTGCACACTCTGTCCCTCTGCTCCATTTCAGAAACCTTTCTTTTCTTTCTGGGTTTCTCTCCCTCCCTCCTCCTTCATTCTTTCTCTGTCTCTTTTTTTTCCAGCCTCCCTCCCGCTCTCCCTCCTACTCTACCTTCCTTCCTTCCTACCTTACTCCCTTCCTTCCTTTTGTTCTTTTATTGGGCACCATGTGTCATGCTCTGAGCCAGGCACTAGAAATACAAATCAAGGAATTGACATTAATTTCTAGCAGTTCTAGTGACTTCACTCCACCTGTATTGCTAAGCACTTGTGTATCCACAATTATGTTATTTTGCATTTAGCCTTTAGATATTAGAATGTGTCCTAAATGTCCTGTGTTCTCTTGTTGTTTTCCTATGTGTCCTATTTTAGTAAGTTGCCTGTTGGATAAAGATGCAGCTTTCCTTACAGAGCATTTTCTCCCAGAGTGATTAGCGTGGCACCCTCACACACACTTGAGCAATGTTGTTGCTCCACTGATTCTTGAACAAGGTGAACAATAAAAAAGAGCAACATTTTTCTGGTGATGCAGCATTTCACTTGTAGTTAGAAATAACATGGTCCTAAAGTATCATTACATGTATTTATTTTTATTAAAGAGTCATTGTGATAACTTTCTGTGACATGTTCTGAATTTTTTTAGTTGTGTTGATGTTCCTTTCAGCTGGTCCTTTAGCCTCCCCCAGGAATGTCTCCCCAGTGAAAGGGCAGAGACTGAGGTAAGAGCTGCGCCAGTGGATGCTCCAGCCAGCGGTGAAGGTCAAACACAGTCATCACCTGAAGACCCCTCTCCTGCTCAGCAACACATCCAGATGCAGTTCCGGCCCCTAGAACTCTCACAACAATGTTTTTTTTTTTTCCAAGAAACAGAGAAACTTAATAATGTCATCTAGACTTTTAATGAGCCAAAGACTCTTCCTTCCTCATTTTTTGTTCCTCTGCTTGCATTTAAATTTAGTGTGATATCATTTAAGAAAAATCTTCCTAATATAAATATGCTTATTAATCATCAATTTTTAAAATGGAAAATTGCACAAATGTGTTAATGTTTTAAGGATCAAAATTAATGCTGTTAGTAAATTAATTTTTAGCCCCAGAATTTGATCTTAAGAGTGACCTAAGGACTATATAACACTCTTGAAATAAAGCAGTCAGAGGCAATCCGAAAGATGAAGTACTGGTGGAAAATTATAGAGCAGTGTAAAGATATCACATTATACCATGTGACACCAACCCATCAACCATTCTTTTAATAGGCAAGCTAGATTCTGTGAGATACCGTCACTGCCTCTAAAGAGTTTAAATCTAGACAGATGAGGCACATAAACTTTTGAAAAGGTAAGTAACAAATTGGGTCAATAGATGAAAAGACCAAAACCAAAACAAAATAAATTATTTGAACAAGGAACTCAGAAGAGGTCAGCATAAGCTGGATAATACCAGTCTGTTTAGGGAAGAGAGTTTCCCTAAGGAGGAAATTATAAGCTTAATCTTAAAGGATGTTTAAAAATTAGATAAATGGAAAGAAAGGAGAAAACGGAGCCTTTTATTTTTTTAGAGATTTTATTTATTTTTAGAGAGAGAGGAAGGGAGGAAGAGAGTGAGGGAGAGAAACATTACTGTGTGGTTGTGTCTCATGTGCCCTCCACTGGGGACCTGGCCTGCAACCTAGGCATGTACCCTAACTGGAAATCGAACAAGTGACCTTTTAGTTAGGCCAGCACTCAGTCCACTGAGCCACACCAGTCAGGGCTGGAGTCTTTTAGATAGAGGTGTTATTATGTGGGCAAAGCCATGGAGAGAGTAATCTACAGGGTAAGTTTAGGGGATTCTGAATATACACATCTAGCTGACTTCCCTCCAGACACTTAATGCCAATGTGTATGTACATATATGGTAAAGATTCCCCATGTACACATCCCTCTGTCACACCAGGTGTGGTCTGGAATCATAATTTTATTTCCTTGCCATTAAAGCAAGTGAGAAAGACTGGAAATAATATATGAACTTGTAATTTTTCTGTTAAATAAATAGTAGTTGGTATTTACTGAATCATACTATATGTTGAACATTTTATATATTAACTCAAACCTCACAACAATCCTGCAAAACAAGTATTATATCCATTTTATAGATGAGAAAACTGAGGTTTAATGAGATTAAGAACTTGCCCAACTGCCATATACAGAGACACATTCAGAACTGCGATTGCAAAGCTCATGATCTAAGGCAACATTTTTCAACCCATGTGCCACAGGAGTTTTTCAAACATGCAACACCTGTCTTGTTTAGTTAGGGGCACTGACCTCTTCTCCCTTAGATGGTCAAATAAAAAGAAATGACAGCAGCCAACACAATAGCCATCTGATGTGAATGAATCAAAATTATACCTTTTTTTGTCAGATTAGCAAAAAATTTATTTTTTGGAGTGCTGCAGAATTTTAGTAATTAGTTTATATGTGCCATGAGATGGAAAAGGTTAAAAATTGCTGATCTAAGGCATCAAGTTGCAATATTGCAATCATTATAGTACCACTTCTGTATTGCCTGATGTTTTTTTGTGGTAAACAAAGAGCTCTTTCATTTAATTATCTCCTCAAATTTCTCAGATTTCTGGTTAAATTACCTTAGAATGATAGAATGTATTTTCCTCGTAGAAAATGGGAAATATCAAGGAATAGAGATTATCAGCATTTTAGGCTTTTTTTTGACAGACTTTGATGACATTCTTCAATTTGGTCTTCATGAAGTCTCAAATTCTTGAAAAGTAAACAATGGGATGAGGGAGCTTAGGGGTTATCTAATGCAATGACTTCTTCTAGAGATGAGATAAATTCATGAAGTTAGGGTGACTTATGGAGAGTACACATCTGAGTGTGGCTGAGTTAGTTCCAGAGACCAGATCTTTTGGTCTAACCTCAGAGGCTCTTGAACTACTTCACCTTGCCTAAATAAACCATGATCTTGAATTTGATCAGTCAAAACATTTTATCTGGGTGATCTGCGAGTGTTGTACCTAGTAGATTGCTTTAATTTTGTGTCTCTTTGGCTTGCTGTGTTAATGTGAAAAATAGCTGGCTGTGAAATAATATCTGTAGATCCAGAAATTTTCGTGGCCCATCTCCCCAAAACACACAATGGCCCAAGATGTTTTGTACCATGTCTTCAATGATATTCTTAATTTGTTTGGAATTCTTAGTTCAACTAAACAAATAAGATCTCCTGAGTATTTTCTTAACCCATTTTTGTGCACAATATGTGTTTATAAGTGCTTATGCATGAATATTTGTACATGACTATTTTAATCATTCTTATATTTTTGAAAATATCAATGGTTATTTGTTGTTTAATCACTTATCCATGGATCAACTCAAGAATACTTCAACCATAGAAAGCTAGAGCTGAGGAAACCTCACTCTTCTTTACCAGCCCCTTTACATTTAGTTGGTATGTAGTGAAGACTGATAACATGGTCAGCTGGAGAACACAGAGATTCAAAACACACTTCTGTCCTGAAGGAGTCCGTGAAGCTGGGTTTCCTTCAGAACAAACAACTGGACACCTGGATGTGCCTGATACTGAGTGTTACCCATTTCCACTTAGACTTCTGGCACTGTCAGACTTGGGTCTCCTCATGGCCTGGTTGTCAGGGTTCAGCGTGATCATTGGCCATATCTCACACAGTTCTGATTAAGTGAGTTCATAAAGCAGGGTTTTTTTTTAAATCCAAGCACAAAATGTGACTTTGTTGACATTTTATGAAACTTTGTTGTATGTCCTCTGAACCCCCAATAAAGGCAATATTGCATCAGCTGTGAACTTGTGTTGCTTTCTTGGAAGAAGATGCTCTCATCATTTGTTTGTTTCCACTAGTGTGTATCAAAGCTAGTCTGAGAATCCAGGAAGAGCAAATAATCTAACATGATAAGAAATTTTTAATTTAGTCAATTTCTAAATCACCCCATGTTGCCTTTCAAGAAATGTCACTATCATCTACCCAAGTCAGAAACCAAGGCATGATGCTTGTCTTGTCTCTTGTGACCTGCCATGGCCAATCAGGGTGATCCTTTTGACTTTGTCATCTTCCTGTTTTCAAATAAGCCTACTTTCCATCATCTATGTGACTATAGTTAAGACAATCCTCACTTCTCATCTGGACTCCTGCATCCTGTCTCCAGCTTTCCTCCACACTGCCAAGTGGCAACCAGAGAAATTTCTGTAAACCACAAATATCATCATATTATTCACACTTTCAAACTTTTTATTGGCTCTCCATTAGCTTTGAAATATCATGACACCTAAAGCCTTTCATATGCTGGATCTTGGCTCAGTATCCCTCTCTAGACTAACCAAGTCCTTTTCCCCACTCACTTGTCTATGTTGTAGCTCTACACATTTGCTGCTTCTTAATGTTCCATGTTTGTTTATCTTTATTGTGTTTTTCTATTACCAATTAGTCCCCTCATACCCCCACCCCTCCAGCGATCACCACACTGTTGTCCATGTCCATTCATGAGTCCTTTTTCCTTTCTGCTAAATCCTTCCAGCCCCTAACCTCCCCCACCCCACCAACTAGCTGTCATCTGTTCTCCATCTATCTGTCTTTGTTTTGCTTGTTAGATCATTTTGTTCATTAGATTCTACATATGAGTGAAATCATATGGTATTGTTCTGTTTATATTCTAGGTTTTCTCACACACCAAAACCTTCTGTTCAGAATCCTCTTTATTCCCCTTTCCAGACTTCATATCTTACTCTTCGGGCCTCATCCTGGAAGTCACTTCCTCTTGGAAATCTTTGCCTCAACCACCCTGCTGTTACCTGCAAGGTTATAGCTTTTTTCTATGTGCTATCACAGTATCCTGTGCTTACCTCACATTAGCACTGACCACCCAAATTATAACTTACATGCCAGTCTCCTCCATTTGAATATGTGATTCTAGAGATGTTTCATTCAATAGGGCAGCCACTCTTTGTATGTGGCTACTTCAAATTAAATTAATGACATTAAATGCAATTAAAAATTCAATTTCTCAGGGCCATTGGCCACATCTTAAGTGTCCAGACCCACATGTGACTGGAAGTTACCCTCTTGAACAGCATAGATAAGGAACCGATCTGTCACCAAGAAAGTTGAGCAGGACAATACTGTTTTAAAAAACAAGTACTGTGTTTCATCTGTCACTTCCTCGATTGCAGCCTTTCTTTGCCAAAGTTTGCCATCTGAACCACAGAGAAAACTATTGACTCTTTTCTGAATTCTTCCAGAAATGGTATACAACTGAAACTATCCTATATGCATAGAAAGTACATTAATTTATTACATGTAAAGATGCCCAGATATTAGGTTCAATTCTAGCATAAAGCCCTCATTGAGAAATTCTCTGATAGTCTATCACAGTGCTTGGCACAATGTAAGTAGTTTATAAGTGTTGGCTGAATAAAGAAGTGACACATCTGGATACTTAGACATTTCCTTTTATTTATTTTTACCTAGATTTGTGGAGTCATGGAGGAGACATGTCTCTAGATTCCAAAGGGCCTCCTCTCTATAAGATAAAAGGATAGATGATTTTCTTACTTTCATTCCAAGAATAGTTGAATTGTAGGATTACCCATTATTAAACTTTTCTCTTTTTTTAACACTGGCAAACAAAAATAGACAATTGAGCTGTTATTCACTGAGTAAGATCAAAGTGAAAATGATCAAAGTAGATAACTGAATTTGATAAGGACTATTTCTTGTTAGGGATTAGCCAAAGTTCACTAAAACTGTTGATTATTTCCTGAGCACCTACTATGTTAGGTACCAGGGATATAGGAAAACACAATGCAAACACAATTCTTGTGCTCACCATGAAACAACATTAATATCATTATTTCACTTAAGCAAGAGTTCTCAGCCTTTGCTGCACATCATAACTAAGTGGGAAGTTAAAAACAATACTGATACCTGGGTCCTTCCTCAAAAGACTTTGCATTAATTGGTGTGGCTATGGCCTGGGAATTTTATTTTTTTAAAGCTCCCAAGGTGATTCTAACATGTAGCCAAAGTTGAGAGCTATTAACCTATGGGGATGTAACCTTAGAGTGAGGTCAGAGATCAAGAGTTTTGGTACTGATAATTGATAGCACATTAGAAACAAAAAGGAGAAAGTTTAAAATTGTCTGTTTAGCATATCCTCATTTTACTTTTTGTTTCTCAGAATATAAGCTGATACTTAAGAAGCACTTAGTTGTCCAGGTAAACAGCCAGTTCATGGCTGAGATAAGACCTGACACCAAGTTTCTGACTCTAACACTGATTTTTTGGCTGCTATTGAGATCTTTCTGGAAAATGGAAAATATAATTATCTTCAAATCAAGATATAACCAACATACACTGTGGTCATAATTTTTAAAGCAAGAATTAAATTTGAATCAATTTATATTCCATGTACTTAATTTTTTGTGTGATCAAATGTAAACATTATAGATTAATTTTGGTAGAGTACAACATTTATTGACAATGTACAAGACATTATATGCATGTGGTTGTGTGTGTAAAGACGTAGAGAGTTCAGTTCTTCGGGAGCCCTAACCACATCCCTACAAATTCAAAAATCAATATACATATGTTAAACTCCACAAATAACTAGGAAGACCATTTCTCTTTTAAATTTGAACTACTCTGTGGCAGACATAACAGTGGGAGGAATAAACACAAGTACGTTGTGCCCCCACATTCTCTGTTTTCTCTCCCATTAGTACATGGCATTCCCTTCAGTGTGACTTTTCACAGTACAAGTAAAAATGGCCAGTCTGTCCCTGTAAGATGTAACCACCATAAAAAAGGGAGCTCTCTTAGCTACCACCAACATGCAGTTCTAGATTCTACTGATGCAACAAGAAAATTCAGGAACTATAAATCACTTAGTTCTCTCTTCACCCATATAAGACCACTTAGTGCCCATGTGCCTTTCCTTTTTTTAAGACATCACAATAAGACTAACATTCACACACTTGCTTCAAAATGCATGTCAGGTTTGAGAACTTACATAGTTGGGAAATTCTGTTATATTTCTATTACAAATCCCTCATGCTGTCATATAATCCTGTTTTCTCTTGTTCACTGTAGAGAAAAGAACAGCTGGTCTCCATTCTTTCTAAACTCAATCCCTTCAACTCCTTAAGGACACCTACCTACCTTCCAGCCTTCTCTACAGTAAATAATATATAACAATTCCCATCAGGAAAATGTCTGTCTTGCACTGTACATATTCATGGCCATATCACACATGCTCATTCTTATCACATAATGTTCATAACCAAAACAAGCCCAGGCCAAGAGCAAAACAAACAAATGTGTCATTGTTTTTATGAATGAAGTTACAGATCCAATAGTAGATACTGAATACATGGTTTTGAATGATAATCTTCCCATAATTATGTGCCAAAGTTATTGTAATTTCTTTTAGAAAGTATTGGCAATCTGTTGCTTTAGAAGAGGTGAATTAAAAATCCAATGATTAGGTTTCAATATCCTATACATAACTTTTTCCCTGAACCCTGTCATGGAATATTCCATTCAATGTTCCACAGCAGGAGCCATCATTGCTTTGACAAAAATAGATACTGTATTGGAACATTCAGTCAATGGAGTAATTCAATTGTCTGAACATTCTTTTCTGCTTTGTCATTTACATTTTAATAAATCCCAAATATTGTCAAGCTGTATCCAGTTGTACCAAGTGTAGCTAATAGCATGAAGTTACCAGATGCAATAAGAAAATCATAACATGCAAGCCCTGTAATGCATCAACATTTGGTTTGTGTGTATTTTTAGTTTCTTGCATTTTAAATGATACTGAAGACTGAAAACATGAATATTTAGCAAAATCTTGGTATTAACAACATTCTGTTAGGATATTCAGTTTTCACAAAGGAAGCTGTGAAAGGTGGTGCTCCACTTAACTAATCAAAGAATGCTGGCATCTGTTAACCCCAAAGATGACACTTGTAGCCAGCAAAATGTGGAATGCTAAATTATCATATTATTTCTATTTCTCTGCCAGTTTGCTGTCTCTACATTCAGGAAGCTCAGATAATCACATTTTGAATTCATCTGACATTTCAGGATGCCAAGATTTCAGACAAGCTAGTCCTAAAAAAGATTGTGCGTATGTATAAGTGCTTGTGTGGATGATTATTGTTATTAACCAATATGCATAACTTCCCTTATGCATATATTGGCCACCAACTGTTTCAACACTGTGAGAAATTTGTCATCCTGGTTTGACAGAGCCACTGAACTTTTACAATGCTGAAGAGCTATAATGATGGTGGTATGAGTCTCACTCAGCATGGTGGGGATCCCTAAGTGGCAGGGGTGTGCCTAGAGAGGAGAGTTCTTCAGAATGATACAATTCAGATTAATCTAGTAGTAAAAAAATCATGTCAGACATGAGACTTAAACTTAGCTCTGATTATATCTTTTATACCTAATTACTTAAGTCACTTAAGTTAGCTCATGAGAAAACCTCTTTTAGGCATTTCCTTTCAAACCTCTGATTATTACCCTTTGGGATATTAACTGCCAAAGGACCAGGATTATTTTCTGACCACAGGTAAACCTGCTTAGTGTCAGACATGTAATAAACTCAAGGACAAAAGAGAACCATTTGTTTTTGCTGATGTTTAGAGCAGTTTCAATGCCTGCCACAGGGAGTGTGAGCAAGCAGCACACAGCTATCATTACAAGGGGTTATATGTTGCATCAAAGAGAGTGATATCATCACAGATGGT